CTTCACTTCCAGTAATGTTTATACCAAAAAAATCACCAACTAAAAGAATTTTTCAAGAGGATGCATATCAAAAGTTTTTATTAAATGATATTATTGAAGATCTTAATTCTCTTACAGTTGCTGATTAACCAAGAGGATTATTGTGTCGTGTTCCATAAAATTATTCAAAATGAATTACTCATACCTGAAATTGCTGAATGAATTCGTATTGACAAAAATCTTTATGTCAAAATTTTTTATAAAAATCTTCCAGTTTCTTTCCCACCTTGGTTCAGAGTAACTCACTAATGTATGTTAAAGAGAAGGAGTATGCAGGAAAACTTTGATTCGCATTTTATTTAAGTATTTAAGTAGGCCATGCTTTTAAAGTTAATGTTGGAAAGTTTAAAATCGAATTACCTTAATTAATAAATAATTTATAATGAAATTACCTTGTTTAAATTCGAAATAATGGACATTTTTCAAATCAAATCTCGAAATAAAAATTATCTACATTTAAATTAAATGATTTAATTACAAAAGAGTTTGAACGTGGTTTAAGTTTTTTGCTATAATTAACTCTTGCTGTTTTTTCCTATTTGTAAATTGTGTGTATCTTCTTTAATTCTTTGATTTCTATCATATCTTGTAAATTGTTAGTTAGCTCACTATAAACTTGCAATAATGGTCCCCATTTATTTGTCTTCTTTAAATAATAAAGGTGAAAATGGTTCTTCCACAATCATTTTAATGCTCAAATATTGTGTAAAAACATCCTTCTAGCCAATATAAATCCAACACTAGCAAACCCAATTTTCAGTATATCTTCCGGAGTATGACTATAATGTCCCAACAACGATATAGTTTTATGGTCGGCTGGTTTTATATCTTAGAGTGGAGAGTAAACTATGTTATTTATTGGAGGTTCATATAAGATTTTCGAACTGATTTCTTTATGACGCTAATGTATTCTGGTGTGTTCTGGTGTGCTAAAATCTTCTGACATTTATTTTAAATATATAAAACCACTAGCTATAAAAAACTAACTATATCTACTTCAAGTGTCAATCTGTTTGGATCAAAACTGATATTGGATAAATAAATCTTTTAACTGAATTGTTGGACAATAATAGTCTGTTATTACTATGTTATTATCATTACTGTATGAATGGTTTATTATACAATGTTAATGGTGAAATTATCAGGTAGTTTTAGAGCAACGCTTTCAAGGCGAGGGAGTGTGTTGATCTCAGTCACTTTCCTTGGGAGAACTGTATATCAAAATTGTCTACTACCATTTATATCAGCCAGTCAGATTTTAACTGTTTACTCTGTATTTTGAAATTTCCTGATTGGTTGTTCGGAAGCTGTAAGCTACATTAGTAACAAATCAACTGTTGCTCCAGTTGATATGTTCAACAATGGTTTAAATTATAAGCTTAACTGCAGAATCCATTCTAAACATGTTGAAGTCTATAGAGTTTTCAAAACCAAGACTGTGTACCATTTCTTTACTAAACTAAATAAAACTAGCTATTCTTGATGAACTGAGAATCATAAAATCAGTAATAAAATAGTCTAAAAGATTAAAAATTTGAAATCAAATAATTTGATTTCGTAATTGGAAGGAGCTACTTCAAACCAATTTGTCCTTCGTTTTGTATAAAATCTTCCTCATTCTTATTACATTCCTGGTCACTTGTTGAAGTTCTTTTTAAAATATTACTCATCAGGCTCTACTAAATCTGTATGCTTAGCACATAAAGCATCTGCCAGATGAATGCCATGACAATTACAAATTTTATGATAAATACCCATCAATCGTCATTGCAAACGATCCATTTGTTATAACAGCGATTATGTGGTTTTTGAGCTGCAAACTAAAACGCCAAGTTTTTTAAGAACAATGTCAACTGCCTTGCTAGCTGTCATTGTGTCTTTTACGCTTATTATACTCTGTTCACATTTTAATTTTTTATAAGGATATTTATACACATATGACGTCTATTTTTTTTGGAACTCCACTCGTCTAATTATAATAAAAATCTATCACTTTTCGCACCTTTTTTTTTCTAATTACTTTTTAATTTTTCTCTAATCTGGTCAGCATACTCAAATTTAACTTTTTTAAATCCTTGTCTTGTTAATGGCATTTTTAAACATTGAGCTTTCCATCCTTTCGTAATTTCTTCACGGTTCGACTATGTTGAAAATGGTATTTTATCTAAAGCTGTTAACTTCTCAAGAATTAACCAGGAAAAAAATTTTGTTTTTGAAAATAGGCTTAAAATAACTTTTAAGAACTATTTTGTGCAACTGATGAGTTTTCTGACGCAGACTCTTAAATAAGGTTGGAGTTTCTTTAAGTTTTGTCTCAAGTATTAACTACATCCTCTTCAAGGATGTAGTTAATAAATGAGATTTAAATTTGGCGTCACAATGTCGCATTTTAAAGTTCGTGAACCATTTAAACAGACACAAAAAAGGTTAGCGGTAAAAAAAGATGCAGTGAGGGTTTGAAATTTTTAAAAAAACGCAGACCTAGAAATTTTGTCATAAGTTTAGCTCATATATATATATGTATATATATATATATATATATATATATATATATATATATATATATATATATATATATATATATATATATATATATATATATATATATATATATATATATATATATATATACAGGGCCGGCCCCGCAAATTTAGGGGCCCTAAAAAATTTTAGAGGACTTTTTTTTTTTTTAAAGGTATTTTTAGGCTCTTGCTTATAAAAAGGCCTCCAAAAACAAAAATAGCCACGGGCCTCAAAAAGTCTTAATCCGCCACTTCCTAGGCAGCCAGGACAGTGTGCTTCCTGGCTACCGCGGCCCTCGCACGGGGCTCTAACTTCACATTTGCTACTTAGTATGTGCGGCCAGAGATGGTATAGGTGCGGGGCCCTAGGCTACCGCCTATCCCGCCTATGCCAAGAGCCGTCTATATATATATATATATATATATATATATATATATATATATATATATATATATATATATATATATATATATATATATATATATATGTATATATATATATATATATATATATATATATATATATATATATATATATATATATGTATATATATATATATATACATATATATATATATATATATATATATATATATATATATATATATATATATATATATATATATATATATATATATATATATATATATATATATATATATATATATATATATATATATATATATATATATATATATATATATATATATATATATATATATATATACTAGTTTACAGACTTAAGTTGAATATTTTGCATTTTATGTTAAATAATGCTCATATGCAGTTCTCAAATCTTTTAAAACACCATCACCTGAGACAAAATTAAAAATAATTGTTGAGTTTCTGCATTATAAATCTGTGATGCGGTATTTTTAATTTTGATTTTTTACCGCCGTTTTAAGTTTAAAGCGGCATTTATTATAGAATGTAGACCAATTATTGGTCTTTATTATATGAGACAAAAATTTTTAGTCATCTGCGTAAAGTTAGTCGTTCTGCGTAATAAACAAATTAATTATTGGTGTTTACAAGTAATAATTAACAGATAGTTTTGATAAGTTGTGCCTATGTCTGAAAAATTAGGTAACAAATCTATATAAATAGAATGTGTAAAATAGAAAAGACTAAATAATATTTAAATGTATGGCTTCGTCAAAAGCAACTATTGATGTCAACTCTCCATCTAACTTATTGTTCGTTTTGTGCAAACAAGTTCTGAGACAAAATACACAAGCTTTAACGGATGGTATGTTAATTTATTTGCGAACATGTTTATTGTATATAATGTGTTGTCAGAATACAAATAAAATTTAAATTATGCAAATATAAATATGTTATAAACAAAATAGTACAAGTATAACGAAATAGTATAATAGTAAACGATTAAACAATAACATTTAAGTTTAGCATGTTATTAAAAACTATAGCAAAGATTAAATATTAGTTGTTATTACTACTTAAATTTTTCCTTTAATTTATTATTATTAAAAGGAAATGATGAGATATAGTTATTTTAGGATGAGTTATTTCATCCTAATTTATAAAAAATTTTAAATAAATTATTAATTTGACTTTAATTACATCAAACGCTTAAACCATAGAGACTACTATAATGAAGATTACTCATTGCTCATCTTTTAAAATTGTGATTTTCTAAAGATGATATTTATATTAAGATAATATAATTATAGTATATATAAACAGAATAAGAAGTTTTGGATAGAAAATTTAAAGAATCAAGAAATTAAAGATGTGCAAAAATATCCTTAATTAATTGATTTAATTAAAATATTCAAATAAAAATCAAGAGATAAATTGAAGCAAAAACTGAATGATAAACATTCATTTAATTCAAATAAACAAAGCATATATATTTTAAATATTTCTAAAGGTTTTTTTATATAATCGTTTTTTACCCTCATATTACAACATTTTTTTCATAATTGCATATGTTAATGGCATAATGTTAAGGATTCACCCAGTTGCACTTAGGTAAATAAAACATTACTGTCTTTAGTCACTTACTAAGAGTATTAGTAGTCCTGTACAAATTTAATTTTTTGTATGCAATTTTTAACATATAAAAAATAGTCAATCATCAGACTGTAATACTGTCTTTGTAAAAGAAAAAACATAAAGTAGATTTTCTTATTTTTATTACAATTCTGAATCAGAATTGTAATAAGAATAAGAATAATAATAATAAAGAATTATGTAACTTTCATCTATTAGGCTGGTGCAGATGTATTTTTAATACATTGTTTCCAGTTTAGGATGTTGAACGCTGGATCTTCTTGACTCGATGCATGGGTTTTGCTTATGTCTCTGTTTTTATGACTAGGTAACTCATTCTATTATCTCCAAATGAGGGTACAGCTCTAAAACTCAGTTTTATGGTTCTGAGGCCAGCTGGTAGTCAGGTTTCCCAAACTCTGTGGTAGCTCTCAGAGAGGCTGATTCCATCAACAGTTGAAAAATATCAAAGTACTAACAGTGCCATGTTGCGCATGGATGGTGTCCCTGTTTGTACTTTTGGTGTGCATTGCCAAGGCCACATTGGAGCCCTTTGTTACGGCTTAGGGTTTATAGTGGAAATGAGGCAATTGCTTAGGCTATAGACAGTGTACTGAGTACTATCTATGTTTCGGGAAACTTGGTTTGAATCCACAGACTACTCTTTTATGTGCTTTCATTTAGCACCACTTCACTCTATCACCTTTTCTCTTTGTTCTATATCACTCTCCTTCATCTCAAGACTTCACTCTTCTTGATGTTATTTCTAATTATATTGACCAAACCCCCATTCTTTATCCATCAGTCAATATTGTTGTTGTCGGTGACTTTAATGTTCATCACACTGAATGGCTTGGCTCTAATGTCAGTGACTCCGCAGGCATTAAGGACCACAACTTTTGCCTTTCTCAATCCCTAACTCAAATAGTCAACTTTCCAACTCGCTTTCCAGACAACCCGAATCATTTACCTTCTCTGTCTTGTTTCTGATCCTAGTCAGTGCTCAGTTTCTTCACACTCACCCTAAGGTTTTTCTGATCATGGTTTGGTCTCTCTAAAACTATTATCTTATTCTTCTTTACCATCAGAATCCCCCTATCATTGTACATCTTACAACTACCTTAAAGCTGACTGGGATTCTTTCCGTGATTTTCTTCATAATGGCTCCTGGGTAGAAATCTTTCGTCTCCCTGTTGACAAATGTGCTTCTTACATAACTTCGTGGATTCAGGCTGGCATGGAATCCTTTATTCCCTCTTGACGACTCCAGGTAAGGCCTCACTCTTCTTCATGGTTTTCCTCACATTGTGCTGCTGCAATTGCCAATCGAAACCATTACTTTCATATCTATCAGCAAAACAATTCTCCAGGAAACAGGCGTCTGTTTATTACTGCTAGGAACCATTGTAAAAAGGTTTTGTCTAATGCCAAAGCCCGTTATTCTTAGATCATGAAAACTTGTATTTCATCACAAAAATTAGGCTCTTGTGACTTCTGGAGAATCTTTAATAGTATCAATAATAAGTAATTCCACCTCTTTTGTATGGTTCAGACTTTGTCACCTCACCTAAAGACAAAGCTGAATTGTTTGCCAAGAACTTTTCATCAATATCATCTCTTGATTCCACTAGTTGCATTCTACCTGATATAGCCGTCAAACAGGTTGATCCACTGCTCGACATCCATATCACTCTAGCTTCTGTATCTAAAGTGATTTCCTGCTTAGGTTCTTCTACAGCTTGCAGCCCAGACAACATACCCGTTATAGTCTTGAAGAAGTGTTCTCTGGAGTTGTTGTCTATCCTTTCAAAACCATTCAACAAGTGCTTATCAAAGTCTTGTTTTCCAGCCTGCTGTTATCCCTATTTTTAAAAATTCTGGAGAGCGATCTGAATTGTCTAACTACCATCCCATTAGTTTTCTTCATATCATAAGCAAGGTTTTTGAATCTTTAATTAACAAACACTTAATCTCTGAACACTGAATCTCATAACCTACTTTCTGATCATCGATATGGATTTCGATCTTCTCGTTCTACAGCTGATTTGCTATCAGTAATAACCGATAGGTTTTATCGCGCATTAGATAAATGTGGAGAAGTTAAGGCCATCACTCTTGACATTTCTATAGCGTTTGATAAAGTTTGGCATGCTGGTCTTCTCCATAAGCTTTCTTCTTACGGTGTATCTGGAAACATCTTTAAGATTATAGAATCCTTCTTTTCCAATCGTAGTATAAAAGTTGTCCTTGATGAACAGCACTCTTCTTCTTATTCTGTAACCTCAGGGGTTCCTCAAGATTCAATCCTTGGCCCTATACTCTTTTTAATTTACATTAACCATCTTCCATATATTCTCATATCTAAGGTGGCATTGTTCGCTGATGATACTACCATTTATTCTTTTCATAATAAGAAGCCAACACTCTCTGATTGCTTGGAGGGGGCATTTGAACTTAAAAAGGATCTCACTTCTACTACACCATGGGGCTCACAGTAGCTGGTGAACTTTAATTCAGATAAAATTTAATTTTTTTCAGTCAGTCGTTATCGTTATATTAGCATCTGCTAAAGTTGCTTCTCTTTATCAAGCTCGTCACTTTCTTACTCTGGATTCTATTCTCTATCTCTATAAATTTCAAATCCGGCCTTGTATGGAATACTGTTGCCATATCTGGGGCAGATCTTCTAATGATGCCCTTTCTCTTTTAGACAAGGTATGTAAACTATGTAAACATAGTTGGACCTGCTCTTGCAGCCAACCATCAACCTCTGTCACATTGTCGTAATGTTGCTTCTCTTTCTCCTTTCTACAAATACTATAATGGGCACTGCTCTAAAGAGCTAGCGTCTCTTGTGCCATGTACTAAAATTCATTCTCGTGTTACTCTTCATTCAATTAAGTCTCATCCCTTTTCTGTTACTGTTCCTAATGATCCGAAAACTCTTACTCGTCTAGTTTTTTTCCTCAAGCATCAGTTCTTTTGAATTTGCTTCCTTCATCTTGCTTTTCTGATTCATATAATTTGCAACCTTTTAAGTCGTCTGTCAATCGTTATCTTGTACTACAATCTTCATCTTTTCTCTTCCAGTAACTTCTAACACTAATCAGTGGTCGCTTGCAGCCTTTTTGGAAGCGAAGATGTTTAAAAAAAAAAAAAAAAAAAACTTGCACCATTTATGTAAAACCCAAGACTTAAACAAATCTTTATTAGTAAAATCTAAACATCTTTATAGGCAATTTTAAAACTAGTTAGAATAAACAGGCCTCAGCAAGAATGGTAAGCTTTCGATTGCTCTGTCTGACCACGGTTATACATTTTTTTTGCGACAATATGCGGCTTTAATTTATTTAGCATGTATTCAAAGTATCTAAGAAGCTGTGGGCAAGTTGTCGCAACAAAAAACTATAACCATGATCAGACAGAGCAATCAATAGCTTGCTGTTTCCATCAAGGCATGGAATAAATTACTAGGTTTAAAGTGCTCCCCATGAATTTAAAAAGAAAAATAGTGATTTGAGTATACATGCCTCATGCCATATGCATATAATTTAGTTTCTCTATAATTTTTTTTTGTTTTGTTTAATTTGTTAATGTACAAATAACTCTAAAGGTATCCTTTAGGCAGTTTGTTAAATAAAGTAATCAACATATTAATTACCCCAAATTGTTGTTAAAAAAGTTTTGACAATGCATAAATTATGCTACTTATTTACAAGTAGAAATAATTCAGATATGTTGAATTTTATTAAGCTAACCTTTTTTAATTTTTATTTGTTTTAATATAGAATTATTAAAACAATAGGTAAAAAAAAAAGTCATTCAAAGAAATATTTAAAAAATATATTATTTATCATCTAACAAGTACAAAAATATTTATTTAGAGCTTGTTAGTTATATTTTATTCAGCTATAGAAAATTACAACAACAATCAGCAAAAATCTTGAACAATAGATAACTTAGGGAATGAAAAATCGACCATTTGCAGTGATCAGACTTCTGCGGTGATGGTCTGAAAACTGAAAACAGCTAACTGACAATCACCGCACACCTCTAACCACTGTCACTGTCAATGTATCACAGCGCACCACAATCACTGACCGTTAACCATCACTGCAGAAGTCCGATCACAGCAGAAGTCCGATCACCGCAAATGATCAATTTTTTGTTCCCTAAGATAACTACATTATAGTTATCTATTGTTCGAGATTTTTTTGCTTAAGTGAACTTATTATATTAAAGATTATATTATATATCATTATAATATATTAAAGAAATTATTCTTTTTTAAATTAAAAAAAAAAAATTTAGTAAAGAAAAAAATAATCAATTATTATTTTGGTTAGGCAAAGATAAGGCAAGATAATTTTACTAATAATTACCTTACACTTTTGTTAGTTTAATTGTATTGTTTGGATATTATTAATTGATTTTGTTACTTGAAAAAGGCTTTATTATTACAATTATATATGCTTGAAATAAGCATACCTATATAAAAAATGTAAAATATAACTCTTGCTATGTTTGAACTTGGGTTAACTAGAGTTGACATTTTCTATTTATAGCTCTATTTTTAATTTTATTTAAAAACAACTATTACCAAGTTTGACCTATAATATTTTTAGTTTTCATTTTTATTTCATTTACTAAAAATTTTGTATTCCTTGTTTTAACAGCCTAAATTCTTTGTTCTAACACTGCATCAAAAATGAGCTTAAAACATTTGTTAAACTTGTTTTAATAACACAAGCATATTAACTGTTTTGTAAAAAAAATTAAGTTTATTCATTTAGTTTCCAAGTAAAACTTGTTTTACTTGGAAACCTAAATAAGTATTTGTTGGTCACAACAAATTACTTTTAAAATAATTACTGATTCCTCGATTTTTATTCTTGCGATATTACAATTTTTTATTTCTTGCTAACTTTTTAACAACAGAAAATACTTGGTACTTGTCTAACTGTTAATTTAAATAATAGAACTAAAAAAAAAGAAATAGAATAATTAAGCAAAAAAGTTAACAAAATAAAATATTAACATTATTCTACAAAGTTTTGAGTTAATTATTAGTATTAAATGTTTTGAAAAGAACATTTTTTTATATTTAAAAAAACTGGATACAGAATAAACACTATAAAATTTGTACATACTAACATTTCTACATTTATTCTAAGAGCCTGTGGCTGACATACTTATATTATTTTATAAAAGCTGAAAATTTTCAGCAAATACTTTCAACACAAGTAGGAACAATGGTCAACTGTGTACCTTAGATCATGGTTACACTTAACATAGTGACAACCCCCTGCCAGACACCCATAAACTTCATAAAATTATGTAATAGTATAAAAGTGAAAATTTATTTAAGTTACGTAGGTAACTATTAGAAGAAGTGTTTTAGTTAGCCAGCCACTTTCTACAGTTCTAACCCCCCTAGGCAGACAAACATATATGATTGTTATGGTTATTGTATTGCATTATTGTTATCCATTTTAATAAAAAAATTAGAGCAAAAACCTTTTTTGCATAACTTTACTAAAAATAATTGCTGTTTGATTCAACAACTGTTAGATGAAAATTGTAATAAAATTTAAATGGAAGGTTTTAAAAAAATATATAGAAAATAGCAGTTTTCTTTTCAAAAAAGTAATGGCAAAAAATTTTCAACACAATCATGTTGATTGTGTTGAAAATAGTTTTAAAAATTTTAGAGGTAATAAAAAGTTAGAAAAAAGTTAAAAAACTAAAGATAAAAAGACTGTCTGTCCAAAACAAATCCCTGAGATGTAATGTAAAATGTGAAATGTAATGTGAGACGTGAGATGTAATGTGAGATGTGAGACGTAATGTGAGATGTAATGTGAGATGTGAGGTGTAATGTGAGATGTGAGATATAATGTGAGATGGCAACTCAGGTACATTTAGCTCATTTTATATGGACCCAGAAGAGAAGTATTTATTGATAATTCTGTTTTAATAATACTAATTTGTATAGTAAATATTTTAAAGATAAATATTAAGTAGTATACATCACTACCAATGGTGTGCAGTAATGGTGTAGTGGTAGAGCCCTTGCTTCATAAGCAAGAAGTTTTGAGTTTGATTCCCATCATGTCCTTGGTAGTACTGCGCTCAACTTGTTTCTCCGCGCAGCTGCCTTGTTCCTCAAGGTTCGTATTTGAAGTAAAAGAGTTAAGAGAGAGTTCTAACCACAATAAAGTAGCCTCCTTTACTGTAATGACCTTTCTGGCAATAGGGAGGTGAATAACATTTTAAAAAAATAAATAAGTATATGAGTAAATAATTTTTGTATATAAGTTTTATATAAAATTTATTCATAGTTTTTTCTTATGTAAATTTTTCATTTATCATTTTAAATGTTTGAATTATTTTAAAGGAAAATAAGTTTTTAATTGTTTTAACTCATTAAAGTTATTATAATATATTTATAAATAACATGATTATATATAAAAACCCATTCAATTATTATAATATATTTACAAATAATATAATTATATATAAGAACCCATTAGAATCATTATAATATATTTGTAAATAACATGATTTTATATCCCAACTATTAACCTATTTATCATAGTTTTGTATCTTAGCTTATTGCAATTGTTATAAGATAGTTGTTAGTAATATGATTTTATATTTGTATTTAAATTTAATAGTAACATCTTTTTATTATGTAATTGCTATTTATTAAATATAAATTATGTATTGTTTTTTTTAGAATTAATTTCTAGTCAGTATCAATATGCACTCAGATTATTAGGAAGGTAAATTCTATCTAGCCATCTCTTTCTTATATGTGTGTTCATATATATATATATATATATATATATATATATATATATATATATATATATATATATATATATATATATATATATATATATATATATATATATATATATATATACAACCCTCGGAATTAGGAAAATTGAGGTTGGCAATAATTTGTCGACCTCAATCTTTTAGAGGTCGGCATCAGGTCGGCAAATATAAAGGTCTTACCATAAAACATTGAAACGAGGTCGGCAAAACCGAATTTTTTTTGTCGACCGCAAACACGTTTAGGTCGGCATTGCCGAAGGCCGGCCCTAATTCCGAGGGTTGTATATATATATATATATATATATAATGTATTTAAATTCTATAAATTCTATCTAGCTATCTCTTTCTCATATGTGTGTGTCTCTCTCTCTCTCTCTCTCTCTCTCTATATATATATATATATATATATATATATATATATATATATATATATATATATATATATATATATATATATATCCTTAGCATTATATATATATATATATATATATATATATTATATATATATATATATATATATATATATATATATATTTATATATAATGCTAAGGATATATATATATATATCCTTAGCATTATATATATATATATATATATATATATATATATATATATATATATATATATATATATATATATTATATATATATATATATATATATATATTATATATATATATATATATATATATATATATATATATATATATATATATATATATATATATATAGCAAATATTTGATAAAGTTGTTGCATGTGAAACGTAAGTTAAAAATGAAATTGCTCATATATATAAATATATATATATATATATATATATATATATATATATATGTATATATATATATATATATATATATATATATATATATATATATATATATATATATATATATATATATATATATATATATATATATATATACAGGGTGGCCCAGAAGTCACTTTACATTTTAAAAATTAAATAACTTTTTCTTAAATGACTGTATTTAATTAATTCTTTTCTATTACAAAGCTTAGAGTGTGTAAGTTAGTTCTGACTTAGTCACGAAAGATAATGTCTCTTAAATAGCCTCCATTCTCGTCTTCACAAAGTCGAGCTCTTTCTAAGCTATTCTCCATGACACTTCTTAACATCTGAGGTGTAGGGAAATAATTTCCTGTCGTATGTTTGCCTTAATTTCTTGAATAGTTCGGGGCTTATTTGCATACACTTTGTCTTTAAGATATCCCCAAAGCCAAAAGTCCGGAGCTGTCAAATCAGGAGAACGTGGAGGCCATTCAAAATCGGAATTAAGAGAGATTATCCGATCCTGAAACATTGCAGTTAACAACTGCATTGTGGCTCTAGCAGTATGTGCAGTTGCTCCATCTTGTTGCCACCAATACCCTGCCATGTTTACTAACTGAGGTTGAACAAAATTCACTAGCATGTCTCGATATTTCTCAGCAGTTACAGTCACAGCATTTTCATTTTCATCTTCAAAGAAGAAGGGCCCAATAACCCTTTCTGATGTTACTCCACACCATGTTGTGACTTTAACCGGGTGCAATGGACTCGCATGAACTTGGCGTGGATTTTCGGAGCCCCAGAATCTGGTATTTTGCTTATTCACATGTCCATTCAAATGGAAATGAGCTTCATCTCCCATGATCAACTTGTGAATAAACTCATTGTCATTTCTTGCAGTTCTCTGAAACCTGACAGCATAATTTAGTCGTTTCTGAAAGTCTGCTGGTTTTAAAGATTGCACTAATTGAACCTTGTAAGGGTACATGTGCAAGTCTCTTTGAATGCGCTGCAGAGAACTCGTGAGATGCCAAGTTCTTGAGAACGCCTTCGAGTGGATGTGGTTGGGTTCTCTTCAATGCTACGGCTCACAGCTTCAGTATTTTCACGTGTACGTACTGAACAACCTCGTCCACTTCTAGTCCTATCACTTACAGAGCCATGCTCTTGAAAACGCGTCACTAAGTTCCTTATTGCAGGCCTACTAGGGGGATGTCGAACATTAAAATGGCGCATATACGATCTTTGCGTTGCAACAATTGACCATCCATTTTCAAAGTAAAATTCAATTATCTTCACTCGTTGTTCTGTTGTAAACTTATCCATGCCAAAAATTTCCAAGGATTATATTTTTAATTCTGAAAAGAGAAAAAGAAATATATTAATAGAAAAAAAGTTATTTAATTTTCAAAATGTAAAGTGACTTCTGGGCCACCCTGTATATATATATATATATATATATATATATATATATATATATATATATATTATATATATATTATATATATATATATATATATATATATATTTATTTATTTATATAAATATATATATATATATATATATATATATATATATATATATATATATATATATATATATATATATGTATAAATATATATATACTTTTTCGGTTTATTAAACCCTGCCAAAAATGAAATCGGCAGAATTAGTAAAGTTATACTTTCTAATATAAACTCTGAACTTGCAAAGAAACTTCATCTCAATCAGTGAAAAAAAACCCAAGATACCACAAACTGGTTTAATTGCATCAGTGATAAACGCCTTTATAAATTCCTTATTTTTGATATTGTTGATTTTTACCCTTCGATATCTGAAAAACTTCTTAACAACGCTATTAATTAACTTCTTAACAACGCAAATGGAAAATAATTAAGCAGTGCAATGCTTACAATCTAGCCACGAAGTCCTGCAAACTATGTACATATGAAAAATTTGAAATTCTATTTTCCAAAAATAAAAATCTGCTAAACAAAAAAAGTGAAATGGTATCCAAGTGCAGGCATTGAAACAAGTTCCTTCTCGCCCTATTCAACACAGGTGATTGAGCAATTTTCTAATTTATTAAAAAATTGTTTGTTTTGACATAAGAACTCATTCCATTGCTTTGTTATGGTTTTTTTCTGTTAATTTCTGTATTTTGTATTTTTTAATGGTTTTTTCTTAATTTAAAGAATAAAATTTGGCTAATGATTGCGAAGGGCATGAAACTTTAAGTTCCATCACAAAGTTGTATTTTTTCAAATAATCAAACTCTTTATATAATAATTATAAATATATATATATATATATATATATATATATATATATATATATATATATATATATATTATATATATATATATATATATATATATATATATATGTATGTATATATATATATATGTATATATATATATATATATATATGTATATATATATATATATATATATATATATATATATATATATATATATATATATATATATATATATATATATATATATATATATTTCTGTGGTCATTGGTCAATTTGTGATGTATAAATATGACATTTTGCAGGAGAAGAGTTTGAAAATTTGATAACATCTTTGCTTCTAACAAGGCTGCATGCAGCCACTATTAGAGTTGAAAGTTACTGGAAGAGAAAAGATGAAGATTGTAGAGCAAGATAATGATTGACAGACAACTTATTCATTTTTAGATTTGTTAAAAAACTTGACTCAAAGCATAGACAGTACTCAGTGCACTGTTTAATAGCCTAAGCAATTGCCTCATTACTACTAAT